AATTTTATTGATAAAATTACTATGGCTTCGAATTTGACTAGAACTTAGCAGCAAATGCACGTTAAATTGTTGTCTCGACAATATAAAATTATATAAATGTTTACAAGATTAATTAAGAATTAATATTCAATTAAAACCGTGTTTCTTTAATTAACAAAGACTTATTGGGTCGTCTATCTGCCATTGTCAATGACGGGTTTTTAAATGGAGGTCACGTGTGCGGAACTAGCGCCGTTCACGTTTTGGGATTGCCGGTTGATTCACGCCTAAGCGCTATACAACGAAAGTGGGGTCAAGTATGCAACAGAAATTATGCATACAATCGTTATATGATCGATGTTACCACTGTTATGGGTTCGATGTGCTTAAAAGTTTGTAATGGTGTTTACGAAGGTCGACACAGTGTTCTAAAATGAATTGAAATTTGGTCAAGGTCATTCAATGATCAACAAGGTAAGAGCCAGAGCCATCATTACGAAATGCTTAAACAATTATGCTTAGTAATTAACATGTTAATCCCCTTGGTGTTAACGTAGTGACGTATAAGTTGGCAAATCAGTTAATAAATATGCATTAGGAATTTTACCTGCGTCGCTTAGCGGAATTTGTTCCGATTCTAACATAAGTGACAAATTCTTTGTGACAATATGAATATTATATTATTAGGCATTTTATTAACAAACAACATTGGGACTCAATTTTATTTGAAATATATAAACATATATCCCAAAAACATTTTTAAATATTAACTAATGTTATATTAGAGGAAGTTTGAAATTAGCGCCAGTGGTGGAGACATTGAGAAGCAATAGGTTAGCGTGGTATGGACATGTTATGCGACGAGACTATGGGGACATTAACCAGAAAGTGTTAAGAATGAATGTGGATGGCTACAAAGGATGAGGAAGACCGAAAAAAGTATAGATGGATTGTGTGAAGAGGATATGCTTAAGAAAGGAGTGGATTCAGATATGACGGCTGATAGAGATGTATGGAAGAGCAGCACATACATAAAATATAAAATATTTCACAATAATATTTCAATTATAAACGAAAATTCACAGAATGAAACATTTTCCTGTTGAACAATTGACTGATAAACACACGAAAATGTACAAACACAATTTGAATTTATTCATTTTGCGTTTTTACATAAAATTTTATTGTCAGCCAAAAAAAAAGAAAAGGGTAATGCACGACTGGATTTTTACGATTTCTGCCGACACTCTTCTGAATAAATAAATAACTAAACTTTTAATTTATAACTGACATGATAAAACTTCTAAAGTACGTTTAAGTATATCAAACAGTATTAATGTAGCTTCTTTTCACCTTTTTTTTAATAAAAGAGAAATCTTTTCTATGGATATTCGGATGGATTAACGGATCTCTCACAGATGTAGAACATAGTCTGGAAAAACAAATAGGCTACTTGCTAAGATTTGTTTTTAATTCCGCGCAGAGGAAGTCACGGGCAAAAGTTTTCTCATTCTTATAATAAAGAGGAAAGATTTGTTTGTATCGAAATAAACAAAAACTGGTGTGCCGATTTCAAAAAATCTTTAACCATTAAAAACCTAAGTAACCACTGAGTAAATAGATTTTTACTATATTTTTAATTTCACCCGGACGGAGTTGCGGGCAAAATTTAGTATACAATAATTTAACAATGAAATGAATCAGCAAAAGTCAATTATTGGTGACGTTTCAGGTCCTAGAGTTCGCAATGTATACGTGCCACACCTCGCGTGCCTCTCAAATATACATACAAAGCTTACAACTTACAACTGACAGAATTAACATAATCATTTTGTTTTTAACGTTGACTAACTGCATACAAATAACACGGGAATTATAGCCTCTATTGCAAGGTTCATAAGGTCGAAAGTAACTAAGACTTGCAGACCACTATTCTGTTTTTATTGCAATATAGTAAAATAGTAACGCAGACATCGAATGTTGTGCTCAATTTGTTGAGATAGTAATTCCATTGAATTACTATCTCAACAAAGTCATTACTTACGCAATGAATCATAGTAAACATTTTTTTCCTTACTGGTATGTTTACATTGACGTTGACATGCTGTGTATATTGCTTGACCAATAATATTACGTAGTTTACAATATCCTTCATATTTAAATGTTTAAAACCCCTATTTTTAAGTTCCTTGCTATTTTAAGTTCATATTTTTTCAGTGCCGCAGTAACCCGAGGGTGCAAGAGCTACAATGCATTGGGTAACGGGCCCTAGAGGGCACTAGTCACTGGACGTAGTATTTTAGATTCATTAGACTGATTTTTAAAGCGCTTAAGGCGGCCATGTTGACAATAAATTTGCGTTTTATAGTTAACTTCCTACATAGTTCCTGTCCTATTTATGTAAATAAAAAATGGTAATAATTTACCTGCAAAACAGTGACGCAAACGAAAGACAACGGTATTTCCCGCATAAGTAATGAACAGCTCTGATATAAAATGTTCCGATTGAAAACGTAGAATTATAATTGTAATGCGTCTGACGCGTTACTACCGTTATTGTTACGATTTAAATGCGACGGATTTTCCACAAACGCACTGAAATTTGTCATTTTTAATTGGATTTTCTGATCCGTGATAATGTGAGTCAGAACAGCTGGTTGCTTGCTAATAAATAATTATGTGAACTCATTTACAGGTATAAAAATTGCACTTCAACAATCTTTTAGAAAACCTAAAATATTTGGTTCCTGTATGTATGTTGCCTTGGTACTTGCTAACCTATGGTAGCACTGATACAGGAGTAGTTAACTATAAAACTATAAGTCACCGATGATTTTGTAAACAGCCAAGGTCCTCTTGATATTCGTATAAGAAATATTTGTTAATAGTGAATCGGTAGTTTCGAAATAAAATTCCCACTTGACAATTCAACTATGAATCAGAAAAACGACACTATGTGTACCTGTTAGTTTGTCTTGTACCTAACTTTAAAAAAATACAAAAAGGTTTAGGCGTCCACAAAGGCGTATATAAAGGCGTCCTCAGAAGCCTAAAATTAATTTATAATTTACATTTTTCTATACAAAGTTTTATTTTTAATATACTTTAATATACATTCTGCATGCATAGTATTAAAATGTATTATCGAAACAACGAATTAATCCGTACTATTTGAAATGCAAAAGTGTTTTCGCTAATGATTTTCAGTGGCGCTGGCGCGAGAGCCGGCTTCGAACCTGAACGAATCCACTTCATTTTGCGGTGCGGCCGCTCACCGTTCCTAATTTAGTGCGCTCGTACATGAAATTAAAATCGTTTAAATGTATAAATGAGATACGCACTTAATAAATATTTAATTAGGTGTCTAAATAAAAGCTCGTCGCACGTGCCCGCGATGCTGCGGTCCGATGCGATTTTGTCATGAAATTATTCCGCGTTCGAAACTCGCTGCGACTTTGACGTCGAATTAAAATGTTTGATTAGATTGTGGAAACATTTTCATAGTGAATTTTCGCTAAAATTGATAATTAGTCCTATCATTATGAGGTAAAAAAGCGATAACTTACGATTAAATATTAAACCTTATTGAATACACTAAGAATCTCAGAACAGTCTGTCAAACTGATTTGATTGCGAGTGAAATTGATGGTTAGTAATCTCAAGTGATCTTAAGATAGTTCCCCTTTCATTATACTTACAGAAGTACATACGCTATCTGTTTTTACCCTAATTATTTAAAAATAAACTAAGGAATATCAAGTCGTTCATTAATTTATACCTATAAGGATATTACTGAAATAACTTTTGCATGATATTTATTTAATAATAATTGCCTTTCACGCTGCTTTACTTTCCTGTTATGAAAGCTGTTCGTAGCTATAGCACAGACAGGGCGCCTAGGCCTGCCGGTGACGTGGGATAATTACCGCCCCCCAGTTCTCGCACACTCGCCCCCTCTGTCCGCTCTCGACGTAGGTAATGTCATATTAACATCCACACCTAGGCCGTCAAAACATCGCACCATCGCACCGACCTCCCGTTTAACGATATCGCAATAAATGAAAACAGCAGAAGCTTAAATTATATTCAGTTGAAAGGATTATCGATATAGTATTCACGTAGTGTTATATCTGATCGGAATCGATTCTTACATCATAACTAACACATATATCTTTGTTCCCGATTAAAAAATTAGAAGATTCACAGGTCGTCGGTATTTTTTTTGTTACTTCATAACTCCACTGCTGATTTACGTGAAAAGGTATCCTATATCGATAATCTGTTATCAAGCTCAAATTTGTTGAGTAAATGCTCTGCAGACCTTATCGATAAACCTATATTTGTCTATTATTTTGTCTCTACTTGAGTGTAACCGTTAAATTGTGTTAGTATCGAATTTGTTAAGTATAAATATTTTTTTAGCTTTTTTTAAACGATTTAACACTATTTAGGCGACTCGCTGAAGCTACATTAGCGCGTCAATTGAAACTTGTCGGCTACAAATACGTCTCTCGGCCAATCAAAGGCGTTGATTAGAGGGGCGGGGAGTGGGGGGAGGTGAGTAATTAGCCTCCTTTGATCACGCCGCGCCTGTTCTTGTTACACACATTTCATGTACGCAAATCATGTGGTAAACAATTACACTAGCTGGTGTTACGTTCAACACTATAGTTTGAGATATACAACTAATTACGAACAAGAAGTATGACGTAGATATCGTATGAAACAAATCAAATTCTTTTAAAAAACTACTAGAAAAGCAGAGCTTATCTCGTATTTTCAACCTGAGTTGTTATTTCAAAAACTTACTAGTACATTTTTTTTAGCTGAGACCTATTTGTTTATTTTGCAATAGAGGTCAATAAAGCCATAAAATAACAAATTAATAAAAAGAAATAAAACCACGCGATCGCATATTTCACTG